AGCAACGGAGCTGAGTCACAGTCCCTCATCACTCATCCACATGCTCCCCAGGGCTTGCCGGCCCTAGCTCCATTCCAGGGATTTGGACAAAATCGTGGCAAGCCCCTGGATTCCTTTAATGGAATTCCCTTCCGCAGCAGCATTGGAGGGGCAGGCCCAGCCTATCCTTACCCCTCCTCCAGCCAATTTGGTAACCAATGCCTAACCACAACCTTACAAGTTGTGACAATTTGCTACGCAGGCCCGGCCAATCAGCCAACTGGTCAAAATTCCTACCAAGCCCCTGCCCCAAAGGCAGACGACTCCATGACAAGCATAGCAAGGTCAACATGAAAACCATTAAACTGAGGGCGGGTGGGCGGGTGATCCGGTGCACGCAGCAAACGAGTAAGAAGCTGCATGCCCAGAATTTAAACATGTTAGATCCCACTCACAAAACTGCAACATGAAATTCCCCCAGCAACCCAGTCAACCAATCATTGACAGAGGTCAACTTAGCAACCCTGACCTGGCAACAGAGGGGTGGCTCAGGAGACCCCACCGCAACACGTGCTCTCATTTTAGGGAGAACACGCTTTATGACTTAAGCTTTCTGCATGCATGTCCTCCAAGATCTCCATAAGCAGAGGGTGATGTGCAGGTGCTTGCCATGGTCTGAATAGTTGTCACTGTGGTTCAGGAAGATGTGGTAATGTTCTGTGCCTCCCTGCTTCCAAGGCCTGTGGTGCAAATCCCCTCAGTTGCTTTGGGTTGAAACAACTGGAGGAGCCACAGGCAATAGCTTTCCATTTTCCTCATTGACTGCTCAGTTGTGGCTGGGAAAAGGAAGTAGCTGGCCAATGAAGGATGGCAATCAGGTTACCTGCCTGTACAGAAGCATCTTTCAACCATTGGCTGCTTCTTTCTCCCAACCCAGCCCCGACAGAAGAGATAATGCCAGAAGGTGTGGGAAGAAAGTGGGGGTGGAGTGAGGAGAAAAGATACATATGGAACTGCTATAAGACTCTAATTTCCATTGCACTCAGTCTCAGCATCTCAGCACCAGATGGTGGTTGGTTGCCTCCCCTGTTCCAGGTACCTCCTGTCTTTTGAGTTGGGAGCTGAGCCTTGCCAACATTCTTATATGCCAGGGTTGTGCCACTGTTAGTGAAGGCTGAACTTCCCTTAGCTTCACTTGGGATTGACTTGGTATGACTGTTTATGAGTTTTGTTGGCAAGAGTTCAGAACAAGCTCATCTGTTCCCCAAGTGTTCTTTCCCAGCTTGTAATGTTGGCACTTGTGTGCAGGTGTTGTTGTGCACCTGTGTGGTCTTGCATCGGTTTGTTGCTGTGGCAAGAAACCATCAAGAGAAGAGATTGACACAGGAAGAGAGGGGACTTGCCAAGAAACTTCGGTGGGTAGGGCTGGGTCACATAGCTATACAGAAATCCATGAACATTTCGGACAAGAAAATTGGCTTCCAGGTGGAAAAATCAAAATTAGAAACTGAACTGTTAGAACCCAAAACTAAGAACTTGTCAAGAATGTATAACTTGCTGCTGAAATGGAATACTCAGGATGAAACGGTGAAATCTGCTATGATTAAATGGGCACAGGACGTTGGACATAACATTATGTTTGCTGACTGGGAACAGTTGTGGACCACAGGTATGAAATTTACGGCATGTAATGCCTTAAGAGAGAATATTATGAAAATGATATACAGGTGGTACATAACCCCAGTCAAGCTTGCAAAAATCTATCATTTGCCCGATAATAAATGTTGGAAATGTAAAGAAATTGAAGGTACATTTTTTCACCTTTGGTGGACGTGCCCAAAGATTAAGGCTTTCTGGGAAATGATATATAATGAATTAAAAAGGTATTTAAATATACCTTCCCCAAGAAACCAGAGGCCTTTCTCCTGGGCATAGTCGGCCAAATGGTGATAAAAAAGGATAGAACTTTCTTTATGTACGCAACAACAGCAGCAAGAATACTCATCGCAAAGTATTGGAAGACACAAGAGCTCCCCACACTGGAGGAATGGCAGGTGAAACTGATGGACTATATGGAACTGGCGGAAATGACTGGTAGAATCCGTGACCAGGGAGAAGAGTCGGTGGAGGAAGATTGGGAGAAATTCAAAGACTATCTGCAGAAACATTGCAAAATTAAAGAATGTTAGAGTGATGTTGGATTGAAAATAAGTGGCTTCCAGCTGTACAGGATTTAAAGTTATAGATAGATTAAGATTAAGGATTAGGATTAAAAAAGTTTAAGGAAATGGAAACTTGGTTTCTAAGAGGTAAAATTTTAATGTTATATTATATTAAGATTAAAGATTGGGATTAAAAAGAGGGAAAGAAATTGCTGGACAAACAATTTGAACTGGAATACAAAAGAGGGAGGTATGAGGAGGTCCAGAAAATAAGTAAATTTAAAAATGGAGATGAAAAAGTGATATTGTTTTTAACTGTTCTTTTTCTTCTTTGTCTTTTGTTTTTTGTTTTTTTTTTGTTTTTTGGATTATGTATTGTGTATTTTTGAATTGTGTATTTCTTTTTTATGTTCTATGTTTAATCTTTTATTGAAACTTTAATAAATATCATTAAAAAAAAAAAGAAATCCATGAACATTTCATCAAAGATAAGGGATTCACATCAAAGAGCTGTGCATGTTTCCACATAGCAGTTGACTTCGGGCAAATGATTTGCAGATTCTAGGGGTGTGAACCAACCACACAAGTTAGTTCAAAGACCACTTTGGTGCTTTGAATTTTTTTTTTTTTTTTTGCTTGGACCAATTCAAAGCCTGCCCAATTCAACTTGAATGTCTGAGGCAATTTGCTTTTTTGCCCCCACATTCACTATTGGGAAATTTTTAAAAAATGGCTATCACCTTTCCCCCTTTTTGACCAAAGTACATGAAATTTACAGGCATGGTACCCCTCCAGAGTGGATAAAAGTCATCATATTTCAGGCAAACAGGTCCAGGGGATTTTGTGGTGGACACCTCTAAAATATGACCCACCCACACCCACAAAGAATGATCTCAAAAAATAATAATTTTTGGTTAGCATCAGATGAAATTTGCAGGCAAGCTCATCTCTTCTGAGAGCATGAATCCTGCCAAATTTCAGGAGGATAGCTTTGGTGATTTTCTTGCATGAGAAGTTGTTGCTCTTGTAAGGTCAATGCAACAGGGATAATTTAATCTCTGCTGGTGTTTTGTGGACAATTCTCTGCCGGCCATATTCTCTACTAAATTTCCATCTTCAATGGTAGGTCCACATGCAATGCCTTACAGTATCCAGTTAAGAGGCTACTGGAGCAAAGATTACTGCTACATTATCTTTGTCCAGGCCCAGCCATAGAAGGAAAATGAGTTGAAGGTAGTATAAATAATGAGGCCACCTGGGGCTCCAGTGACAATGCTGGATGCTAAGTCCCAGATATGGAGCCACTCATCCACTGTGCTTGTCAGAATTTAGCCTCCTTGGCCCGTACCCAGCCCAGTACTGAATCCAGGCATGTGTACAGCTTCACCTGACTCTGATGGTATGAAGGACCAGAGCTGAGTGTCTTCAGCAAACGGATGACACTTCATTCCAAACAGATTCACCCCACAGATTCACATAGATATTAAGGAGCATGAGGTACTGGAAGGAGCCTTGCAGGATACCACAGCACAACCACCAGGGATATAAGTAGATACCTCCAACCCAATGCTTCTGCCTGACCCTAACTCTGCAGGTAGAAGTGGAACCTCTATATCACTGCGCCCCCGACGCCCATCCTACAGAGCCGATCCAGTCTGAACCCAGACAGCACTGGATCTAGCTAATTCGCTTTATCCTGAATTTAATTACCCTCTCTCTTAATCACCTTTACCCCCAAAGGGTATATTAGTGACTGGGTGACAGTTATTACAATCTTCTGCTCCAAAGAGAGCTTCTTAAGGAATGGCCACACAACTGACCTTCTTAAGGCAGTTGACACCATACCCTCTTGCAAAGGAGCACCCAGCACCTCTTGGACCCACCAAATCAATCCCCTCTGGCTCTTTCTTAATAACCAAGATGTGCAAAGTCAAGCATACAAATAGTAGTCCAAGCTCCTTCCGGAACTGGTGCTTGATCCAGAACATAGCTGAGTATTACAAACCAGGAAATTAGGAATTTTGGTGACATCAGCAGCCAAGTCCAATAATTAAACTAGACAAATACGGAAGCATATCTTTCTATTCTTCCTTGCATAAATATTTTGTGTGTGTGTTTGAGGTGCTATATACATCAATGAAATGTATTCCTAAAAAAAATCAATAAGCAACACAAATGGTTGAATATGATTTTGAAAGTTAGAGTTTATAGAACTTCGCATATGACAAAGTGCTGCAGTTTTCCAGTGTCTGCATTCTGTGATGTAAATGTTTGTGGAAAAAATGGTTTCACATTGAAGGGCAAAGCTACCATTGCTGCATTCTTGTGGAATCGTATAAAAGGGTGATCATTCAATTTTTCAAGAAAGCCTTGGTACGTGGTTTTGTAACCTTAAAAATATTTAACTATTGTACAGTGCAAAATAAATAAGAACCTTAAGGAAAAACAATGTAGAAGCATGTGACTGTTTTTGTTTATGTCAAAACCACTATCTTACTACAGTGGTACCTCTGGTTACGTACTTAATTCATTCTGGAGGTCCGTTCTTAACCTGAAACTGTTCTTAACCTGAAGCACCACTTTAGCTAATGGGGCCTCCCGCTGCTGCTGTGCTGCCGCCCCGTGATTTCTGTTCTCATCCTGAAGCAAAGTTCTTAACCCGAGGTACTATTTCTGGGTAAGCGGAGTCTGTAACCTGAAGCGTATGTAACCTGAAGCGTATGTAACCCGAGGTACCACTGTATTTAATAAAAATGTAAGAGTGTCATCACATATCAGTAGTTTGTGTAGTTGCCAAAAGATGCCACTGCATAATGCAGTGTGACAAAACAATTCTGAGAGCTGCTCACCTGCTGCTGGCCCATCACAGCAATGAGTGAGGAGGACAGAGATGGATGGAGAAAGACAGGCATGCAGGCAACACAATGGCCCAGGAGAGCAGGTAAGCAAACAGGCCAGCAGCCCAGGCAGGTGAGTAAGTGGGTGACCTGGGTGAGTGGGTGGGGCAGATGGCCCAGGCAGGCAGGTGAGCAAGTCAGCAGGTAGCCCAGGTGAGCAGCATGGGTGGGTGGCTGACCCAAGTGAGCCACAGAGGAAAAGCAAGGGTAGTCCAGGACAGCCCCCCCATCAATCATCATGCTCTGCTGTCACTACCCCCTGCTTTCCTCCTCCTTGCCCTCCACCACTGAGACTGAAGCAGTGACACAGGTGTGAGGTGGGCAATATGAATAGCAGACAGGAGGAGGTCTAAGGTGATTGGTTTGGGAGCAAGCTGTAGGAGCAGAGGTGGTGGTAATCTGGGTGAGCTGTAAGGACAGTGGGGTGGTTTGGGTGAGAGGTAAGTGGTGGTGGTTTGGGCAAGGTGTAACGGAAGGGGGTGGTTTGGGTGAGCTCAAAGTGGGGTTGGCAAGGTCTAAAGGGTGGGTGCGCAGCCCCTAGGCTATACATATTTGATTGGAAATGACAGAAGTGACTGAAATGACAGGGGAAAAGGAGGACTATTAATTCAAAGGTCTGCAGTTATACCCATATCTCTTCAGTGGAGTCTCTTTCTTTCTTTCTTTCTTTCTTTCTTTCTTTCTTTCTTTCTTGGTGGGAGGAGATAAATTTCTATTCTATGGAAGCTCCCTTGCCCTTTAATGGGAAATATTTATCCAGTATAATACAGCCATGTTTAAAGATCATCCAGAACAACAGGTGTCCCCTTTTACCTAATGGAAAATGCATTCCTCCACTTGTTTATGCCTTGATCGCCAAACCTCAAGGTAAATGAAAAAATTACTTCTCCACTTCCGTCTGAAGTGTGGGGAGTTATGGAAACAACATACAGAGCCTTATTGTTGCTTTGGGCTTCATACCACCTATTGAGTTGCTCAAGTCTGCTGATTTTCCACACTTGTTACTTAGATAAATAGATGATTTGAAGAAAAACAACAAACCATCAGGCAGCAATACCCAAAGAAACTCCGACAGTAAAACAAGTCTGTTGATCTACAGGCCCGTGTGACCTTTTGTATTTGCTGAAACAGCCTGTTTTAATTACTAATGGATACGGTTGCACTCCGATAAACATTACTGACAATTGAAAACAGCACCTTTATAAGCAAAGGATTTGTAGAAATTTAATCTCTGCAGCTTGAACTCAACTCGGAGTATTATAGCAAGAACAAAGTAACCCCTTGAAGAAGTTAATGGACAACTAAGTGGAATGGCTACATGTGTCATACACTGAGTAAAGAGGGACTGACAAAAACCCATTAGTGCCTGAAGGGGAAAAGCAAAGGCAGAAATTCTATCACTTCCAGATGAGCCCTCCTTGAATCTCCCCAAACTCTCTATTAGAATGACAGGGAAGAGGGAGGGCTATTAATCCAAAGGTCAGTGCAATTATACCCAGATTTCTTTTATTGAAAAGGCACTGGAAATTATCTAGAATGTGAGTGTTCCGAATGGAAGAATTGATACTTTTAAAAATCCCATTTCAGTGGCTTGGTACTGAAAGTAACAATTCTACCTGTCATATGAAAGATGGGGAGGGGAGAGGGCAAGAAGTAACTTTCCAGTCTAGACTCTGGTTGAACCGCAACGTAAAAAGGAAAAGCACTTGATTTTCTGTCCCTCAGCACACTTTGGGAAAATGTTTCACTTATATCGCCCTCCATATGAATTCCTCTTCCTTATCTTGAGTGATGACATCATTAGTTAGCCAAATTGGGATTGGCTGTGTGGGATTGTGACATCATCTCCTTCAGTGCATGGTCTCTGGTTGTTTTTGAGAATCCCACCTAACTAATGCAGGAAGTGGCAGCCAGTTACCAAGATTGGTATCGAGACACCAACTGTTGTTGTTGTTGTTGTTAATTTCATTTCCATACCACTTCATATTTTTAAAAGGGAGGAATCTCAAAGCGGTTTACAACCTACATTAAAACATCAATGAAAACAATCCAGAACAAAACATTACTCAAGAAAGTCAAATATAAAGTATACATTCAAAGCAACATAATTAACAGTTAGGGTTAAGTGATGATACTCAAAGGGTGATTATTTGTGAGAGCATTTCTACCTACCAAAATGAGAAGCTGCTAACCCAATATTGAGCTTGGAGACTATTCAGTACAGCTCTAGACTGAAACTGGACCATTCGGACTACGAGATAGATCACGTCATTGTATAAATGGTGAGAAAACCAGGGATTCCTGATTGAAGACCCATAGGATCAGAGCCATCTCAGCAACACAATTAGATTCAAGAGCGTTCATATGGTTTGTTCTCCTTCTGTCTCCTGCTTCATCTCTCTTAGTCTTTTAATCCTGTGGGACGGTTTCTCTTTGCTTGATCTGAGAACACTGCCGTTTGGGGCCTATTCCCAGTGCATGAAAGCACCATAGCTTGTCCCACCCACCACTCACTGCAAGAGGAGTAGCCAATGCGACATCTTCCCATAGTTGCTGGACCACGTCCCATCAGCACCAATCAGCATGGCCAATGGTCAGGGATAATGGAAGTTGTAGTCCATAGGTAGGCAAACTAAGGCCTGGGGGCTGGATCCGGCCCAATTGCCTTCTAAATCCAGCCCGCAGACGGTCCAGGAATCAGTGTGTTTTTACATGAGTAGAATGTGTCATTTTATTTAAAATGCATCTCTGGGTTATTTGTGGGGCATAGGAATTCATTCATCCCCCCCAATATAGTCTGGCCCCCCACAAGGTCTGAGGAACAGTGGACCGGCCCCCTGCTGAAAAGGTTTGCTGACCCCTGTTGTAGTCCAACAACTTCTGGAGGGCACCATTATGGTTTCCCCTGCATGACAACCTTCTCTGTAGGGAAAGGTATTGATGTTGGTAGCTTTAGCCTGCATCTGGTTGCTGGGATCTTCCCGGCGGCTGCCAGTGAGGCTTTAGACCCAGTCATGGCACTGAGGCTCTCCTTGGGGTTTTGGTAAACAGTCATTGCCCGGAAATCAGGGCTTAATTTGAGACGATGTTGATGTGATGCCTTGGCCCAGTATACCTGAAGGCTTGTCTCCACCCCCATCGTTCAACCCAGACACTGCGGTCCAGCTCCGAGGCCCTTCTGCTGGTTCCCTCACTGCGAGAAGTGAAGTTACAGGGAACCAGGCAGAGGGCCTTCTCGGTAGTGGCGCCCACCCTGTGGAATGCCCTCCCATCAGAGGTCAAGGAAATAAACAACTTTCTGACTTTTAGAAGACATCTGAAGGCAGCCCTGTATAGGGAAGTTTTTAATGTTTGATCTTTTATCGTGTTTTTAATATTCTGTTGGGAGCCGCCCAGAGTGGCTGGGGAAACCCAGTCAGATGGGCAGGGTATAAATAAATTTATTATTATTATTATTATTATTATTATTATGTCTTACAGAACTCACTGACTTTCAGTGCAGTGTATCCCCATGCAGCTGAGCAAGCTTTCAAAACCTAACCTGCCCGAAAGATGCGAACCTCTTGTATTTCCTTGAGATGCCAACAGATCTGCACTCCATTTCATACAATACGGTGGTATTGAGAAGAAAGGATCCTAATAGATGTTTGCAATTTTAAAAATGATTTTGCTTATAAAGTGCCATGTTCTGATAACAGGGATTGGTTTTCAATATGAAGACTCCCCCCCTTCCCCCATCCTTTTGGCAGGAATCATGAAAAGACAATTTTATACAGATAGAGCATATTTTCCTCAAATGGCACCGTTGTTGCTTTATGTGGCCTCTGGCAGCTTCTGACCTGGCACTAAGCCTTTCCCCCCTCACAAATCAGTCGAGCATAATGTTTCCTCCAACTTACCAAGGGACAACAGAATTAGCTGCAATCGGGACACTTCTTATCTCAAATTTGGAGGACAACAGGATCATTTTAGGGCAAGGGCACAACCCATTACTCAGTAATTTTCCTGATTGCAACCATACCAAATAAATAAATACATCTTCGAAACTGTGTTCATTATTAACACACAGTTGCTGCTACTGAGCCCCACTCCTTGTATATTCTGGGCCCTGGTCTGCCGTCACATTTGTTGAGTAGTGTGAGAACCACTGTGGCACAGTTATAATGGTGAGGTTGGATAGCCATCTGTCGTGGATGGTTTAGCTGAGATTCCTGCATTGCAGGGAATTGGACTAGATGACACTCAGGATCCCTTCCAACGCTACAATTCTATGATTCTATAAAATACACAATAAAAAACAACTAATTCAAAAATGAAAGGCAAAATGTTAGCTAGTTAACAACTGATGGCCATCAGTGAGAGGTCTAGATGAAACTCCCTTGTTCCAGAGTCTAGGCACAGTTACAGAGAAGGCCTGTTCTATCACAATCAATTAAAAGTATTTTTTTGTGTTCTGTGTTAAAAATACTATAAATGCAATCTTTCCCCCTTTTTTTGGAGAGGGGCGTGCTGTAAAATATGCAAATCTGTTCTAGGAAATGAGTGATTGCTTACTGTGCGTAATAGATACCTAATTGCCGAGTGCTCTAGCTCAGTGGTTCTCAAACTTTGTCTTCTTGAGCTATCCACAATAAACTTGTTGAAGATTCCCCAGGGATAATAAGAGGGCCGATGAACCATTATGCTAAGTACTCAACAGGACGGTGCTCTTCTCCACCTGATATTCCTGCTATGCTGTCATTATCTGGGAACTTTTCAGTGCGAAAAGCATGCCTGTTTTGTTCCCTCCACTTTTCTCTACAATAAAGGCTCCTTCCGCCCGAGGACTTTCATTCTGACGACCAGGAACTCTCTCTTAGGCCTGTGAATTCCTGCATGCCCAATGAACAAGATTGTGTTGGACCAATGTTAGACCACTTTTAAATAGCTGGCTTCCCATACTTGTCTGAAACTGAGAGAAAGGGCAATAATATAAGAGTGCAGTGGAAGACAGTGTCACTGCCATTTACCAACACGGAAACATATAGGGATCTGTTTATTTATATATCCTTCCTGTTTTCATAGGAACCTGATATTCTGTAGATCTACATTAGCTTTCCCCAACTTGGTGAAATCCAGAGATTTTGAAATTCTAGTTCCATCTGTTAGAATTCCTGATCTATGACTGCAGTTGTTGTCTTTCACATGACGGTATATGTTTTGACTCCACAGAGTGGGAAGTGACGGACACAAGATGTTTGTGTTACTGTGTTCCATGAAGTGGGACTATTGTCCTTTGTTCTTTTTCTCTTTGCTATCTGATGCTAGAGAGAGAGGGAGCCATGTTGCAGTGCTCCATGTTTGATTATATGTAAGTAAAGTAGATTAGCCAAAATGCTGAGTTGCTGAGGTCTGTTACACAACTGCGAAGACTCTGCAGATCCCTAAGTGTGCCAGTGTCAGTTGGCATCGGTCGCTGTGATGTTTGGGCAGAAGAAAGCGTTTGAAGCTCCCGAACGATTAACCAGGAGGGAGAGAACATGCCAGTCGGGCATGTGTCTCTGCCAGGGTCCTACTCGAGTGTAGGCTGAGCTCCTGACACCATCATCCCTGACAATTAGCCATGTAATCTGGGGCTGATGGGAATTGCAGTCCAGAACACCTGATAGGCACCAGGTTGGGGAGGCTGGTCTATGTTGTCCGGGGCTGCTGGGATCTGTGGACAGCTGTTCCAGGTGTTAAACCACTGAACTGAAGGTGGCACTTCTTGGTAAGGTGTCCTCAGGCCCTACCACCTCAGCTGGCCTCGAGAAGAAAGTTTAGAATACAGCTTCCTCTCCCAGTCAAGTCTCGCTTGAGCAAGGTTGTCCTCCAGTTCTGGTCCCAACTCCAAGCTTTGTCTCATGGCTCCTGGTTTCTGGCTCACCTCAGACTGCTACCTGCAGCCTGTCATACACTGTCACTTCTCCAACCTGTACCCAACTAGAAGAAGAAGAAGAAGAAGAAGAAGAAGAAGAAGAAGAAGAGTTTGGATTTGATATCCCGCCTTTCACTTCCTTTAAGGAGTCTCAAAGCGGCTAACATTCTGCTTTCCCTTCCTCCCCCACAACAAACACTCTGTGAGGTGAGTGGGGCTGAGAGACTTCAAAGAAGTGTGACTGGCCCAAGGTCACCCAGCAGCTGCATGTGGAGGAGCGGAGACGCGAACCCAGTTCCCCAGATTACGAGACTACCACTCTTAACCACTACACCACACTGGTGTACCATACAGTTATTGACTACAGTAGTTTAGCATAGGTGCTAAGCATCCTTTAGTAAAATTCTCAGTTGCTAACTGCCCCAGACACCAGTGGTATGCGGTGAAATTTTTCGCAGGGGAACAGTCCAGAGGTGCCAGCTTGCGAGAGTGATGGAAGGAGCGACGTTGCAACATCCCGACATCAAGTGTGTGAGCATCGCACCTCCCTAAGCCAGGCAGAAGCTTCCTGGGCTCTGGGAAGGAGTTGTCAGGCCAGTGAAAGGACGCTGGAGCCCTCCTGCCTACCTCCCAAAGCTGGGTGGGTTTTGGGAAGGTGGGGGGAAGGGCTCTTGGACCCTTTAGGCGACTAGCCTAGTCCACGTGCTCCACTGACTGCACAGTGGGTGGAAAGAAGACACTTATGGTTGGAAAGGCAGAATAAAAAATCATTCTTAAAAAGAAATAAATGCATCTAGCAATGTTTGTCTATCTGACAGGCAGATGCTTTCTAAGGGGGTCTTTCCTAGCCCTGTTTTTAAATGGAGATGTTTTTACCTGTGCATGCAGGGACCTAACAATTGTAACCATACCCCAAAGCATATGCTTTGCCACTGAGCAACGGGTCTTCTCCTCAGTATCAGCCTAAAAGCATAATTTAAAACTTAACTAAGAAGTGGTTTGAGTTGTGATTTTTTTGGGGTGTGTGTGTGTTTGTATGTTAAGAACCACAACTTTATCAACAAATTGATTTTTGCAACTTCTTGTGTGCAAAAAACTCGAGGACCGCTCTTATTTAATTTCACTTTGCTTTTGTAAAAAAAAAAAAGATTTTAAAAATGAGAATTTGAGTCTTTTTTTCTTTTTCTTTTTGGCTGCAAGGGTTACAACAAAAGACATTGATTTTGGCACCATAATGGCAGCAGGCCCTTTTAAAATTTCAAAATAGGATAGAAAGGAGAAATTATTACTATTTCTTCAGATGTCAGATATACCAAGGCAGGAAAGAACACCGGACACTGATTTTATTTTGCTACAATCTGTCACATGCCTTTATGTACAAGTGGGAAATGGAGACAATTGAAATGGGTTTTCACCTCTCTTAAATGTTCCATTTATGTCATTTGTTGACCACCTGTCTCCCCACAACATGTTGTGGCATAAGTCAACTTGACTGCACAATGTCACTAGCATGGCATGTGCACTACTGGCTATTTTAATGGGTTCCTCCCCCCTTAGACTAGGGTGGGGGTAGTCCTCCCATCTAAACCTGCAGTTTCTAGTGGAGGTACTTGCTCAAAAACAAGTCAAAGCTTCTTAAGAAAGAACCACCCAAACAAGTAGTCCTCAAACTTTTCCCACCCAGTGGATCATGTGAAGATTGCTGAGAGTCTTGGTGGACCACCTAATGATTTCTCTACCTTTTGTAGCAACTTTAATGTGCTGTGCTAGATTGCTGTATGATTTTGAATTACATTTTTACAGACAGGGCCGTCTTACCCACAGGCGCTAGGGGTGCAGGGCACCCGGGCACCGGGCTCTCAGGGGCGCCAGTCCAGGGCCCGAGAGTTGAGTCCGGGGAAGAGCCCGCCCATTGGTCAGAGTGCCGCAGCGGGCTCTTATGCTGCAGGCAGCTCTGAGCTGTGAGTTCAGGGGCGCCTGAGCCAGCGAGATGCTGAGGCAGCCAGCTGGCTCCGCCCTCCTGCGTGCCTGGGACTGGGCAACCTGGGGGGGGCACCGGGTGGATCTTTGCACCCCGGCACTGCATATGCTTAAGACAGCCCTGTTTGCAGACATGCCCTGGATCACCTGAACGAAGCATATGGACCACAGGCTGGGAACCCCTAACACGAACTTTTAATTTTAAGATAACAGCACAAATACATAGGTGTCTATATTTTCATGCATAAAATATTATGCGAATATTGCTTTGTGAAGTTATGCTGATTTGGTGGGAGTAGGGTTGAAGCATTATTTTAATATAACTAGAAAAATATTAACCTAAGGTTTGCATATGTGTGTGCACACTATTTAATACAAAGTTATTCAAAACAGATATTCATGTTCTTAACTAGCATAGTGGTACACACACACACACACACACACACAAAACACCTAGCACTATGCTGTCCTGTGAATTTTCCTTATGTGCTTCTTAAACATTCCTGTAATGTGCTTGCAGGAAAAGTTTGAGCAGTCTGTAGGGACAAACAATTTGAGTCTGAAGAACATTATGGAATAAAGGGGGAAATTAACTTGGGAAAGTAGGAAGCCGTCTTGTACCAAGTGAGACCATTGATCTATCTAGCTCAGGCATGGTGAACCTTGGGCCCTTCTGATGTTGCTAAATGATAACTCCCATCATCCCTTGCCGTTGGCCATGCTTGCTGGGGCTGATGGCAATGGTGGACATGGGTACCCTGGCATCTCCCCCCCTCACTGACTTCCCAAAGTCATCTATCCCAGATACCAGGCTTTGGGATGGCGGTGCAAGGGCTCTGGCAGGGTCCTCGAGCCCTACCACCTCCTTCCCAAACCTGGGAAAATGCTAACTAGGTTTTGGGAAGGACTGATGACCCTGCCAGAGCCTCACAGCTCATTCCCTAAGCCCAGTGCCTCACTTACCAGGCTTTGAGATGCCCCCCACCTTCAGCTCAGTGCCCAATCACACACCACTCTGCTCCTGCTGATGGGAGCTGTAGTTCAGCAATATTTGGAGGGGAAAAAGTCCCTCATACCCGAGCTAGCTGAACAGCACCTATTCTGTTTGGCAGGGTATGCTTCTCAAGGATTTCTATTCCAAGAGTGGAGACAGCAATGA